TTTTAATATATCATTTACATATATACTTATAAATATGAAAATACCACACATTTCTGTAAGCTATTAAAACCAATTAAGTTTTGCTTCAAATCTGATAAAATGACGTGCGATGTATATACCATAAACATGTTTAATTAGTTTGATATGCTATAATTTATTAATGATGTTATTCTATTCATTCAAAATAGTGCTTCACGATTACGCAGTCTTATCCGTTTGTCCTTTTCGAACAATAAAAGATGTCTAAACTAACTAAACTTAACTTTTACGCAGAGAATCATTGATTAGCAGAGGTACATGAACTACTAACTTTGAACTGATTGCCACTGGACTTTAAGCAAACAGCAATCAATCAATCAATCAATAATCCTGATCATAAGTTTGATCATCTTCAAAAAAGCTGATGATAAATGTAACTGATCGAATTTTTTTCGTCTTTAATTTCTTGGATGTTTTAAATACTTGAATGCGTTTCTTTTGGATATTTCCATTGTTTGGAATTTGCTTTCATCAGAAATGCTTGGTGTACGACCAAGATTTAGCATAAGAAGCATGTGTTTACAAAAACAACCTTGTTTTATTCTGCATAATATTTTCAAATTTATCTGTAAGGGATTTTGAGTCCGAAATTTGTTTTATATCCCCATTGGAACAAACGGCACGTGTACATTGGCAAAAACATTGTTTAATTACTCGATTTTGCCAAGATACCTTACATTTGAATTGGGAACCAAGACAATTCTTGAAATATCTATCAACAAGAATGGGTGTTAGGCAAAAAAATATATAGTTCTGTTTCCTGCCTTTTTACCAACCCGAAATGTTCATGTCTACCCTAACACATTTGTGTGCATTCTTTGGTTAAGCATCGTTAAGGTCCAGACATTTTTGGCTAAGCACTGTTAAATTTCAGAATTATTCCCTGTTTAGTGTTTGTAAAATTTATAAGAAAAACATTTTTTGTCTACCTACTTACCCAATAGGCAGAAAACAAAGTATAATTTTATACATAATTATGTGTTAAAAATTCGTCGTACATTCATTTGACAGTACACGATGATGTAAAATTTTACAGAAAAAAAATTAATGTTTAAACAGTCAATATTCTTGAACCTCGTAAAATCAAATCAATAAACCAATAAACATTACAATTACGGTAATTGGCGATAACAATACACAGATGGTTAAATCCAATTATAATTGTTATTTTACGATACTCAAACAGGCGTAGTAATATTGAAACACGTGATATCGCATGTGCATGGATTGAAAGCAAGGGTTTTAGCATTAGACTAATCTTCGTTGAAAAGATAATGCGACAAGCTCTAGTTGTAAGCTTCTTTTACTTTATATTGGAATTATTTTTTACTTCTTTATGGAAGAGGGGGGGGGGGGGGGGGTCATTTATCGATATAGACTACCCGTAAGGGTCTAGCATGGTCGGCGTTTTTTGTCAACTGGAACCTATCACTTTTGAGCTGTAGAATTATTTTCTAAACTCTCATTCAGCAATGACCTACTTGCATATGTTTCTGTTTTTATAGAAAAATATACACTTTTTAACACGATTTTTTTCTCAAAACAAGCGTTGTGTTGTTTCTGACTTTTATGGGGTTTCTTGAGCCGCAGTTTTTAACGAACAGCTGTGACTGATTAAGGTGACTACCTGCAAAGTAGTGAGCATATTTGGACCCTGCTATCTAAATTATGTGCCGTCTTTTATTTCTTTGTTGAAGTTAGTGTCATTTTGTGTGTTTAACTTTTAAGACACATGATCCAGATATATATATATATATGCAAAGGGGTAGGGGGTATGCACATACATAAAACTGGTTTTACCCCGCCACATATTGTACCTGTACTAAATTCAAGCTATCTGGAGAATTTCTTGTTCTTTGTTATTTGTCTTTTGTGTGTATGTACATTTTTTCGGAGGAGGTGGGCGTCGGTGTGGTCTGTTGAACTGTCCCGAACTCCGAAACAGTGTAAAAGATTAGAAAAGCAACGTCACCACTGTTTCGGAGTTTGATACTGTCCAGTAGTTTTGTTATTTCCTGTTATTCTTTGTATATACCATTATAAAAATAAGGAGATATGGTATGATTGCCTATGAAACAACTATCCACCAAAGTTCAAATGAAGTGAAGTGGATTAAACGTTTTTTTCTTAATATAAGACATAAACGCTAACAGCAGAAGTGTCAATTTCAATTAAAAGAACACTTTCTACGTCAACGATCGAGAAAATATGCGATAGCTTAAAGACAGATATATCTTGATATTATCTGATATACAGTGTATGTTAGTATCTTCATTTAGTGGTTTCGCCTGTGTCCTGTCACCAAAGCTATCATCGTTGTTTATATTTTACATCAGGAGATGACCTTGGAATTGATTTATAAATTATAAACATAAAAGAAGAGTGGTAAAAATAACGTTTACAAAATACGAATACTATACAATTATAGCCTTTGTATGAGGTCGATACAAGGATATATTGACCTGAAAGAAGTATATTGACTGAGGACGGAGTCCGTGGTCGATATACTTCTTTGGGTCGTTTATCCTGTATTGACCTCATACAAAGGCTACAATTGTTATATTATTAATTTCCGACCATATCTGTATCAAAATCGTCAGTGCATTATATTCTCTTTTTTCGATCATTTAATTTTGTTGGAATTTTAAAGATATCATATTGTCTCTTTGACAATCACAACATATTAGTTGATATCTCAATTATTTTTTTATGCTTTTGTGTATACATCTTATGTATCTGAAGATTTTATTTTATAAATAATCGATCATAAATATACACTTTTTAAAACTTTTTTAAAACATAATGAATTTCATTAGATGACGTCACAAAGTATGTCGGTTTTTAGATATTCTAAAAATAACCGTGCAATATCACTTTTCTATCCGCCGTTTTCAATCGACCTTTGAAAATAAAGTTTAACATATGACTATTCCTGAACGAATCAAATTAGTCAAAATATACAAATCAATAATATAATGAGATATAGGGTGAGACTGTTACCCAACAACATTAAACACTAACTGACAACTTCACATACGGATTTCAACAATAGACAAGAGCTCTTAGTTACCCCGAGTCCTGAAAAGTTTTGAAAAAAATTAACCATGACTACCAGAGATCTGCCATCAATATCACATTCCCTAAATAAAAAATAAAAAGATAATTTAAGGTTAGAGAAGGGTTTAGCGCTCACAAACATATTTAACCCTGTCACATTATATATGTGCATGTTCCAAGCCAGAAGCCAGCAAATACAGTGATTGTCGTTGGTTGCGGTATGTCTACTTGTTTTTCGTTTGCTGTTTTGTCTTAATCAGACTCTTGGGTTTATTCTTTGGAATTTTACATTTTGTCATGTCGGGGCCTTTCATAGCTGACTATATGGTACGGGTTTTGTTGAAAGTCGTAAAATAACCAATAGTTGCTTATATACACGGCATCTTGATTCTGGTGGATATTTTCTCATTTGCAATCATACCTCAATTCCTTATTTTTTAGTACACTGATAAAAATACCAAATGGACTGATATCATAGCAACTTCGCAAAGTGGTGGCAAATAAATTGAATTTTGAATACCCTTCTCCTTTAAGTTAGAGTAGTCCCGAATCCAATTTCTGATTTTGCAGCTGGGGTTATAGGCAGATCTCGAAAAAGGCAGATGTTATTTTAACTTCTGTTTAGAATGACAATAAATCATCAAAATACAAACTTAGTAATATTCTTAATTAAATAAAAATAAAATTTATTCGTTTTAGAACTTTACAAATTAATAAAAAGATTTTAAATTTTGACAAGGAAATGAACAAGATTATAGATATTGTTAACTGAAAGACTGAAACACTTGAGAAATTAAACAAGCAAACGGTGACACATTTGTACTATATACAAATCTGACCAAAGAACTGCCAATTTCGGATTAAGAAATTTTAATGTAAAAAAAGGAGGGTGAGATTTACACATCGTTTGAATAACCAGATTGAAACCCAATTAAACAACATGATTATATTGTATTCCTGGCCTTTGAATGTTTCAAGGTATCAGTGCAAATGTTTTTTTTATTGTCTTATAAACAGATGTTCCGCGAAGTAAGGAAACTGTTCATTTTTCCAGAATACCTAAGTTCCCAATGATTTTTGATTCGGATCGTATTGCTTAATCTTTAGATATTTGTGTAGTTTTTTGTGAAACTGTTTTTGTCTTTTCGTCGTTTTTCTTCTAGGCTCTGGTATTCTTTTCTTTTCTTTTATTTGATTTATGGTTTTGGTTTTGGTTATGAAAGCTTCTGGTAAGAACAAGTAGCGAAAAAAACCTAACTGCGTTTAATTAAAGTTTAATGAACCAGATTTTATACCAATGATTCATGAATACTGACCACAGTAAAACATTTGTTCGTCTATTGGACCTAAAAGATATATATAGATCTATATAGATAGTAATATCACTAGAATGTTACACTTTCAATGCTTTCGGCGAAAAATTCATCAACTTGTTCAGTAGGAATAACGAGCAGTATTACTAAATCATAATTTTACCTTTTTTTGTTTGAAAGACAAAAAACGCTTTTCTGATATGACTTTTATTTTTAAAGTTTTATTTTAAACAGAAAAATTAACAAACACCGTTACAAAAAAGAAAAATTTCTAACTCATATACAATTTTCATAAATTTTAACTAATATTCTGAAATTCCTTCTTTCATACATGTAATTGTTTTCCTTTTCATATTTAGTTTGAAGTTAAATCTTATCTAAATGAAACAAAAGACAAAATAGGTCTGCATGTAGCCCACATGTTTGTCTACAAAAGTAATGCAGACAGACTTCTTCTACAGAAAGTTCTGCACTTTTTACACGTGTGCTTCGATTCTGTTCCCCATAACAACATTCAGTGCCATACCCTATAAATAAAGATTTCTTTTATTTCATTGTACAGGTCACTTGCATACTTCGTTTTTTTTACAGGTCACTTGCAAACATTGGCCAACCATCAAACGATTTGCATTCAAACACTCAACTTTACAACAGCCCTAGTCTTCTACCTCTAACTAAACGACAGAGGCGACTTGTATCTAAAAACCCAGGAACAATATTGGCGCTTATGAATGGAGCCCGAATGGCCATCGAAGAATGTAAATATCAGTTCCGAAACCGCCGCTGGAACTGTCCGACACATGATGACAGCCATGGTGGACCTATCTTTGGAAAGATTTTGCAAAAAGGTAAGAGCATGTGAATTATATGTAAATATACAAGTTTAACATGTCAGGGGCGGATCCATGATTTTTGAAGGGGGTTTTGCTTAAAAATTATATATTTTCCAACCAAAGGGGCGGGGGGCGTGCGCCCTCTGCTCCCCCTGAATCCGCTACTAGAAGTCATGATGGAACCTCTATCAAACCATCATGTCGTTTTAAGGATCCGTGTCTTATTTCTACCAGACTTTGTATGATTCTGTCATAAGGACAAGAGCAAAGGTGTTAAACTTTCTTTTCAGTAAAAGAGACGTTCTAGAAGATTTGCCAGACACAATTTGTCATAAAGTTTAACTGATAATAAATAACATTCATTTGTTAAATAAGATTTAATCACTTATTTATTGTCAAGACTGCTATAATATTAATACACTATCACCCAGAGCCGTTTAAACTGTTGTCACTTTGGAATGTATATTGCTTCGAATATTGTAATACCTTTAGGGCGCTATTGATCACAATCAATCTGTTATCGCGGACCTCGTTGAAAACATCGTAAATGAAATTCAAATCACCTTTGGCAAGTTTTTCTTATTTTCTTATTTTATTTGTTGAATACACCGTTAAAATGTCGTAAAAAGTTCAAGACTTTACACTCTTGTTTAACTTTTTGAGGATAAGTAGATTTAGATTTATAAATGAGAAAAAGCTTTTTATATTTATTTAAAGTTTTTAAAAATGTTAAAAGTTTTTGAAATAAAACACCCCACGTGAAGGAAAATTGCAGAGTTAATTAAATAACATTTTAACGTCTTCATGTTTAAAACTGTAGATCTATTTGCAATTAAAATTGATATATAAGTTTAATCAGTCCCTAATCTTAAAGCATCGATATGGGGGTTATAAAACAATTTAAGATCTTGCACCGATTAGAACAGTTAAAAGCATATAAGCAAAAAAAAAAAATGAATAATACTTAGAAGGTCACAAGAAAATTCCGGATGACGTTACCAGACATTGTCGTCACATTTAAAAATAATAATTTGTTTTTATCGAATTTCATATTTATATTTTTAAAATTTGATAAACACAGTAATAAACTGGTGAGAACATAAACACTTAGTACTTTGATGAAAAATTTTGTCCTGCATTTTTTTTAGTTGTAATCTCTGTCCTGCCTTTTTATTTTTCACTCTATTCGGTCCTGCATATTTTTGTTTTTAGTTTATCCTGACTTTTTTTTACATAAATTGTCATCCTGCCTTTTTTTTTGCAAAGTGTCTCATCCTGCCTTTTTTTTTTACTCAAAACTCCTGTCCTGCCTATTTTTTTCAAATTCATCCTAGCCCCTCCCCCCTTAAAGCTACTTAACTTAAGATTTGTTCCTAACGGATGGATTTTTGTACATGTCCTACGATAAATTATTACTACGATTGGATATCTTAACTTAAGTGGTTTTATGCATATCAGCCCAGAATAAAAAGGACATTTCAACAAAAAGAAAAAATTATAACGAAAGTGTATCCATCCCTTGCCTTAATCAGATTTTGGGCTACGTATGTCCTTAAATACTTCACGAAAAACATGCAAAATTTGCAAAATTTTAACACACTTGTATTCAACAACAATGTTGTAATTTTACGGATATTGTTAAAATTGTTGAACTGTTATACTCCGAATTAGTAATTAGTTCAATCACACACACTGTAATGACAAAATACTGCAAGATAAATCTATTTCTTGCATTTAAACTAACCATATCGTAGATCGAAATGTGTAATGGTATCATTCAATTGTTTTATCGCGCAGTTATCAGCATTTTGTTATTATTGTCACATTGACGCTGTTTTATCGTGCAGTTATCTGTTATCATTGACACATTGGCACGTATTTATGTTGATCACGACCTTTTTAATTTAATTACTAATTAATTAGGCTAATTGATAAAAATCAGGTTAAAAGAATGTGACATTAAGAATTCATCATGTCAATTATGAAAAAAACACCATGTACCCTACAGAAAATTGAAATACACACGCACACACATAGATACAAAGTTACATAATAGAAACGAAATATATAGTTAGTTATATTGTTACTCATACTTCCATAGTTAAAATATGTTTGCACATCCACCTTTTCATTTCATTATGTAAAGGAGAGGTTATGGAGGTATTAATTCATAATGCAAAAACCCTGCTCAAATTTGACGTAGTTTTTTCTTTACAGGTTATATATTAATATATATATAATTAAACACACACAGAAATTTTCCAAATTTCTCTGAGTCTTATTGTGCAGTCCTTTTCATGTATTTTTCTTCTTCGTCTTCACATTTTTGATATTCTGAAAGTAATTTTCCAACTACTTTTTTCTTAAATATACCAAAGAACGTTCAGGTATGCTTTTATCAATTTATTAAGTACCCAAGTAGAACGCGGTGATTTTACAAGTTTTAATAGTTATCAAATTTAGGAAAGAAAATTGAAATGTTTCTTCATGTAGAAAAACCCATGATCTGACAACAATAAAATATACAATCTACTGTTCAAGGTATGTAAAAATCATGTTAATTTCTAATTTGCACCTCGTTGCCATTATGTCGAAAGTTGAACCGGGAGACGAGTAGACCCATTTACGGCAAATATGAATGAAGCTAATTTCTTTTTCATAGCCGTGTTTACGGATATTTTGGGATTGATCGAAATTTGATGACCCGGGTGTAAATAAGTATTAGGTGTTTCTAGCTCAATTTTAAAATGTTGATTTCATTACCTAGAATGATTTTCCATATTTTATACGTTTCATATTCCAAATATAAATGAATTAATCACAACTGTATAGAAATATAATTTCGACTACTCTCAAAAAGGACATTTTTCACGCATCCCATGGATACTAGAATATCAATATGCCGTTTAATTAAGTTATATGCCACCTTCAATGAGGAATGTTATTGTTTACAAAATGCTACGTACAGTCAATAGCGTGGATAAAATATTCTGTTTCCCCGCCCATTTACAAAATAAAGGCTACATGTGTCTATCATATAATTCCAAAATTTCACGAATATAAGGAGACCATACTATTATGTATGTTTTGAGTTGTAATTGTATTTCAGAATTTTTAACGTTTAACATTCAAAAAAATATTTGATATAAACGAACGCATTGCAAAGTTATAAATATTTATTAATGATAATTATCTTCCGCGGTTTAACATGAACATTGTTGTTAAGCGAAAATATATATACCGTTTTGATAGGGTTCTTGTTTAAAAATATCCCAAAGAAAGTAAAGAACAGGTTCTGATAATTCAAAAATTGTAAGTTTGATTATTCCTAATTCTAAAGTATGAATACGTTAATAAAGTTTTGTTGAGATCAAAGCATTTACAGTTTTGTTTAAAAATAAATGAGAGTAATTAGTTTTTGAATGAACCATAAAAAGGAATGGCGATTTCAATGTTTGTTCGGGTTAATGTTCATTTGTTATGAATAATCGTAATGAGACAGAGATACCCATCGCCCCACCCAGAGTATAACATCATTCTAATCGGATTAGTCTTCGATTATGTGATGATTAGAAAACCATTAATCATAGTCTTCAATGACTTCTGAAAGTTGTCCGGTGCTTGACGACGGTATGGTTGGTATTTGGATTCATTGTTAATTTGCGTGTGGTCTTTTGTGGGTTTTGTTCAATTTCTTGTGAAGATTTTGACCTTATGTGATAGTGAATGGTGTCAATATTGAACTGACGGGGCATTTTTTTCAAAATTCCCTTTGTTTGTCCAGACCCTGTTTGTACTAGATCGAAATTTTACTTTGCGTAAGTTTAAAAAGAGATAAACAAATACTGTATCATGAAATGGTACAACTCTAGATATCTAAATTGTACAGAAATAAATCCAACTTAATACATTATAGTTATACAATGTTTCAGGCAAGTTTTTCTCGATTTCCTCTTTTGTGACCATTCCTATAATTCTAAAAATAGTATCTTCATAACACTGCAAATAATATGTTAATGCATTTATGTTGTATCAGGATATTTTATAGGCCGAAGTTATCTCCCTTTGTATCTAACTAAAAACTGAATAAGACAAAACTGTCAGATATTGATGTTTCAATAAAATTGGACAGTCCCAAACCATTTATCTGATAAAGAAAGAACAAACAGTTTTAAATCTAACTTAAAGAAAAGTGTCAACGGATAGTGTTAAAAGTGACTATTGAGGCGTGAGTAATTTGTGTCCAACTTGGGAACAGGGGTGGCCCAACAAAGTGGTATTAAAAGTCAAATCTTGATCTTTATTGTCATAATAAAAGGTTCCTCCTTCTAATTATCGTAGTATTTAGACTATAATTAAGATAAGTTAACTTTTAGATATGTTGATTTTAATCTTATTAACACCTCTCCGAGGTTTGTACCGATTTGAACATCATCTTTACTGCCGATCTTTATCATTAAATGGCCCATAAGGACTGGTTAATATTTTATTGTGTTTGGATTTAATTTGTTTATTAGTTGTTATTTTTTACTTGCCTTAATTTTTGATATAAAAGCATACTAACATTTATTCCTATGGAATGGCATGTACAACGACACACTTACAAATATAATTTATTTTATTCTATTAGAATTGAGGAGGCATTTCCTTGAGTCGAAATTGACATTTAACTATTAAGATTTACCTTGTTCTGGTTACATCCTGTTTTGTTTGATGCGCTGCAATGCTTTATGTATTGGGCTTCCAAAAAGACGTGACATGCGCACTTACTTTGATTTCACAAGGGTACCATAGGTTTAAACACATTTCGAATTGGCGAACAGTACTGAATTTACCGCAGTGAACAAGTCTGAAAATATATTAATAAATTATTGTTCATTCTTGTTAGAGTTGTTCGGATTTAAATTGGTTTAGTAGTGTTTGGTGTAAAGTTTGAGAGTCAGCGGCCCAGTTTACAACTAAAAAAGCATCAAGAGAGAATGTGTTTTGTCCCTATAATTCTCAACCAAAGAATT